TATATTTATATATATTTTATAATATAATGTAATATTTTATATACTTTTTTATTTTCTAAATAAGTCGTTCCCATCTTTTCTGATTTGTCTACCAAAATTAAATATTTTCTTTATTACTTTATTACTTTATTACTTTATCACTTTAAGTCAGAAATACATACATGATTATATCAGAATACGAATTGCTGTCCCGTACTCTGAGGTACTTCTATAAGACAATTAAATTATACTTTATCTTACATTGTATTATCTATTTTCAAGTTGTTATTTTAAAGTTGTCACTTGACATTGCAATGACTGTTGTTACATTTGTGAGGCTGTGTTCAGCGAATGGTCGGACCGGTCAAAGTCGTTCAGAGGACAAATATTTCGTTGGTCAGCTCAATCAGCTGATTGGGAATATTGGGCAGGTTTTAATACAGTTAATAGAAACCCGTTCAGCCAACTGTTTGACTAAAGAAGTTTGACCGAACTAGTCCGACCATTCGCTGAACACAGCCTGAATAAAACTAAAAAATAAATATAACAAATATAATATTTAACTATATCTAATTAAATAAAAAACATTTTTTTTCAGTTTGACATTAAGGGTCTAGTGAACAACGACAAATTAAGCAAAGATGTAAGCAAATTCTTGACTGAAAATGTAGCCAAGATAATCGATGAAATAGCGCCCGTTGTGTCGCCTGCAGTCAGTGAAATAATCAAGATTGCCATCAATGTCATACTGAAAATTGTAAAATAAATAAGCATTCCAGTTTTTTACTTTTTATACGAGTGACGATAGTTAATATTAAATAAAAAATAGTTTTTATGCGATAATAATTTTTTCATTTAATAAATCCAAAGCAGTTAATAATGCAAAATGTTTTTAATGTATTAAAAGACAATAATTTTATTAAATGTCCAAAATTACAGATCCAAAATTACACATACATACATACAGGGTCATTGGTAGTGCTCATATTTGTGACACAAGGTGTTCAAAAAAATTAACACAATGTAAAATTGCTGGAACCTCAAGGATTAATTAAATACGAAATTTATTAAAAAAAAAAAAACAACAAATCATCAATCAATACAGTGATACAATGCGTTCGCTACTGCTGTTGCAATTTTTGACTAACTTTTTTGTTTTTCGACATACTGACTTCGGACCGTTTCCATTCAACGCAGAACGGACAATCAGAACCAGAGTAGTGGGGAGATTTTTTTAATTTTTTTTTCAATTCAACGCACCGTTTCCGAATTATAAGACCTTTTTTACTGTATCACCTCACACACCTCTTCTTTCCGAAATTTATTTTCCNAAAAAGTCTAATTCATTAAAAAACAATATTATTTGCTTCATAATTCAATGGAATAAAAAAAAATCGAAAAATTTCTGTTAAGGGTAGTTAGAAAATTATCCTTATTTGTAACCGATTTTGATGAAACTTATGATAGTTAAAGACCCTTATGGTTTGATTATTACTTACAATTTTCATTCCATTATCTTAATCAGAAAGAAAATTATTTTAAAAAATATTCAAATGATAAGACTCCTTTGGAGGGCCCTTACCAAAAAAATTAAATGCAACGGTATAGGCTTTTTTTCATGGCTTTATTCAGGAAAAGAAATACATAAACCGGAGGTCGATAACTTTTTTCGTTTTTAAGTTATTGCTAAAATAGTGAAGTTGTGCTAGAACATCCTCATTTATTTAGTTCTCTACATAACATTGACATAGACCAAGCCAAAATTAAATTATAAAACTATACTAAAAAAATACTTGCTATATTTAAATTTTTTTTGATAACTGCAATGTTTCATTTTTTTATTAATTCCAAATATCTGAGTATTTATAAAGATTAGATATTGTTTCCATAACGAGGCAGGTTATGTCCTATGAAAATAGACAAATGAAAAATTATGTCAAACGATATGTGTCAGCTCTTGCTTCGTGCATTCGTCATTCGTATGAGAAAAGTATTTGTGTACCGACAATTTTCTGTATCACTATAGCAGTTGCGCCTCCTAGCCGTGAAGTTACAAACTTGAAAATATTTTAAATCAATGTCTTTTATTTACTAACTCGGGGCCATCTATTGTTTAGTAGCGCTTAACGTTTCACTGATAATAAACAATTTTCTACTCTGATTGCTGCTGAAAATAAATGTTCCCTGCAAATGTATATTTATATCGTTATCTTTGTTTAAGTCTTATTTTAGTAATAGGTACCTGTTTGTGCAGTATCGTGGCTTTCAATCAGCTAAATTTCGTCAATCTTTTGGGGTTCCGAAAGGATCAATCCTGGGGCCACTGTTGTTTGTTATTTTCATTCATGATCTAACTCACTGTCTTGATATCTATCTATTATTAAATTTTTGAGGACTGTCTTACGTTAAAACTTCTATTAATTGTACTAGACAAGGTAATTTTAACAGCCTGTATAGTTGGTGCTTAATAATAATCTACAGGGTGTCCCTAGATTAAGTAAATTATTTACTACAAAAAAGGTGCTCTTGATAACAGTCGATTACTCTCATGGTTTATTCGAAATTTGTAAGTTTAATCAATCATTTGCAGCAAAATTTGAAACAAAGATTAAATTAGGAAAACATGAATGTAAATAAATAAAAATGTCATAGTAGCTGTTCAAAGTGGTCACCATTTACACGCATACAAAGATTTACACGACGAAAAAAATTGAAATATACTCTGCATAATTTCTTCATCGCCTCTAAGAGTATTTGCTACATCTTGAAGACGATGCCATAGTTGCTCTTCGTTTTCTACCGATGTTATGTAATCTACGAACTTAAATAATCCAATCCATTTGTTTGGTACTGTTGATTTAAGTGGTTACAAAGAGGTAATGAAAAATGTGGTCTCTCCGAAGTTGTAGCCTCTAACAGCCTCTAATATCCTCTAACAAGTCTGGCAACGTATTTTGCAGATATTCCAAATAAATTTCTACCGTTAATCTCTGTGGTAAAATGACAGGACCAACAATAACATTTCCAATCATTCCTGCCCACACATTAATTTTAAATTCGTGTCGAATTGTGGAAATTAGTTACCCCTCCACTTGTGAAACACGCTTAATTGGTAAAAATATATTCTTCCAAAAGTGGAAATCCATTTCTCTTTGCCTATTAACAAATCGACAAAAACCTAGGCGTCTTTCAGGATCAAGGGGTAAGCTTATCGTATGGATGTAGCAACTGTTCTGTAAGTACCCGATTAACAATATTTTTAGATATTCCTGTTATCTTTTACTTAATTGTTTCGTGCTTAGTTCCGGATCCTCTTCAACACGTTCCAAGATATCTTGTTCAACTTCAGGAACCTTACACAACGCTGTCAACTTTCCAAATTTTAGTAAAATCGCATAAGGCGTTTTAAATTTATAACAAAATACGATCTCAATAGCTATCGCCACAGACCGCTACTGGAATAGGCCAGCAGTTTTAAATTTCGGAATTGCCGATAGAGTACACCACCAGCAGAATTTTAGGAAGAATCAAATGCAGCGGCCCGCATTCTTACGTGTATCCCAGCAACATATAAACAATGGTTTGGCAATGTTGTCACGTGTACTTACAGATTTATTTTGTACACATTTTTATCAATGCCTGTTTTTTGAGTTACTGTTACCTGTGTAGTCAACATAGACGATCGGATATTGTGCAGCGGTTACTTAATCATAATTTGGTTAATTAACTACTATTTTAATTTTTTGGTATTGAAATACTGCAGAAAATATATTTCCAAATAAACAAAATTCGTAATAATATTTTAAAATTTATTTGCTTCTTTGATTCATTGGTAGAACTGATTCATACGTCAAAAAACTTGACAAAGTCTGTAGTAGTGTAAAACCACACTGTTTACCAATAAATTCATGAATTAATTCATGAAGAACTTCGTCAATTTATTGATGCATAAATTGTCAATGTAAAACAGCTTTTATAACTCGGAAACGGTGCGTTGAATCGAAAAAATAATTGAAAAAATCTCCTCCACACCCCTGGTTCTGATTGTCCGTTCTGCGTTGAATGGAAAAGACCCGAAGTCCGTATGTGGAAAATAAATTTCGGAAACAAGAGATGTGTTCTGCAGGCTGGTCTAAATAATAATTATCTTTGGGAGCTTCAGTAATTTTATTAAACTTTTTATAAGACAAGCGTCCTCACGTAGACATANGGACTATAAAATATTTTATTTTGACCCATCCAAAATGTACGACATTGGAGATGTAATAGCGCGCATCAGTTGGATAAAAATAAAGCCCTCTGCTTTCCCCTTGTCTAGCTTCACCCAACATATGAGATAGACTGTGACATGCATAGTCCCCTTTATTTAAATGTCCTTGCTGAAATACTTCTCTGGAGTAGCGTATTCCACGAGGGTATCGCAAAGCGTATTCTCTTGAAGCTATAACGGCATTTTTCAAACATTGAAAATAGACTGCCAACATATCATACGTTTCCACATTCGTAAAAAGCATTTTCCTTGTTCACAAGTACTTTTCCAATACAAATAACACTAATTTTGCACGTAGCAAAAGCTGTCACATTTCGTTTGTCGTAATTTTTCGGTTGTATATTTTCATAGGGAATAGACTGCCTCGTTATGAAACAATAATCTTTATAAATACTCAGATATTTTGGAAATAATAAAAAAATCAAACATTGCAGTTATCAAAAAAAAAAAAATCAAAATATAGCTAATACTTTTTTGGTATAGTTTTACAATTTAATTTTGGCATGGACTTGGACTATGTCAATGTTATTTAGAGATCCTTTATTTAGTTAAAGGAGGATGTTTTAGCACAACTTCACTATTTTAGTAATAAGTTGAAAACGAAAAAAGATATCGGCCTCCGGTTTGTGTATTTGTTTTCCTGAATAAATGGTCTATCAAGCCAATAAAAAAAGCCTATACCGTTGCATTTAATTTTTTTAGTAAACGGAGACAATTACAAATCTTTTCTAATTAGCATCGTCTACCGTTGAGCAGGAAAATAATATTTTTATTCCCATATCATAAATATAAATTTTATTAATAGTTCTTTAAAATGAGCCGTCGTTTATCAAAATCGATTAAGGCATTTGGAAGTTATGACAATTTAAAAATTTCAAGATGGTGTTCTTCATACTAGCGTTGCTATGGTAATAACAAAAAAAAGTTTAAACAAAACTTGTGAAGGATTTAATAGTGTATCTACAAAGTGTGTTTTCAACTTAGGTTATATAAGCGAAATTTCGGAAAACCGACAATTTTCTGTATCACTATAGCAGTTGCGTCCCCTAGCAGTGAAGTTACAAACTTGAAAATATTTTAAATCAATGTCTTTTACTAACTCGGGGCCATCTATTGTTTAGTAGCGCTCAACGTTTCACTGATAATAAACAATTTTCTACTCTGATTACTGCTGAAAATAAATGTCCCCTGCATATTTATCTCGTTATCTTTGTTTAAGTCTTATTTTAGTAATAGGTACCTGTTTGTGCAGTATCGTGGCTTTCAATCAGCTAAATTTCGTCAATCTTTAGGGGTCCCGAAAGGATCAATCCTGGGGCCACTGTTGTTTGTTATTTTCATTCATGATCTAACTCACTGTCTTGATATCTATCTATTATTAAATTTTTGAGGACTGTCTTACGTTAAAACTTCTATTAATTGTACTAGACAAGGTAATTTTAACAGCCTGTATAGTTGGTGCTTAATAATAATCTACAGGGTGTCCCTAGATTAAGTAAATTATTTACTACAAAAAAGGTGCTCTTGATAACAGTCGATTACTCTCATGGTTTATTCGAAATTTGTAAGTTTAATCAATCATTTGCAGCAAAATTTGAAACAAAGATTAAATTAGGAAAACATGAATGTAAATAAATAAAAATGTCATAGTAGCTGTTCAAAGTGGTCACCATTTACACGCATACAAAGATTTACACGACGAAAAAAATTGAAATATACTCTGCATAATTTCTTCATCGCCTCTAAGAGTATTTGCTACATCTTGAGACGATGCCATAGTTGCTCTTCGTTTTCTACCGATGTTATGTAATCTACGAACTTAAATAATCCAATCCATTTGTTTGGTACTGTTGATTTAAGTGGTTACAAAGAGGTAATGAAAAATGTGGTCTCTCCGAAGTTGTAGCCTCTAACAGCCTCTAATATCCTCTAACAAGTCTGGCAACGTATTTTGCAGATATTCCAAATAAATTTCTACCGTTAATCTCTGTGGTAAAATGACAGGACCAACAATAACATTTCCAATCATTCCTGCCCACACATTAATTTTAAATTCGTGTCGAATTGTGGAAATTAGTTACCCCTCCACTTGTGAAACACGCTTAATTGGTAAAAATATATTCTTCCAAAAGTGGAAATCCATTTCTCTTTGCCTATTAACAAATCGACAAAAACCTAGGCGTCTTTCAGGATCAAGGGGTAAGCTTATCGTATGGATGTAGCAACTGTTCTGTAAGTACCCGATTAACAATATTTTTAGATATTCCTGTTATCTTTTACTTAATTGTTTCGTGCTTAGTTCCGGATCCTCTTCAACACGTTCCAAGATATCTTGTTCAACTTCAGGAACCTTACACAACGCTGTCAACTTTCCAAATTTTAGTAAAATCGCATAAGGCGTTTTAAATTTATAACAAAATACGATCTCAATAGCTATCGCCACAGACCGCTACTGGAATAGGCCAGCAGTTTTAAATTTCGGAATTGCCGATAGAGTACACCACCAGCAGAATTTTAGGAAGAATCAAATGCAGCGGCCCGCATTCTTACGTGTATCCCAGCAACATATAAACAATGGTTTGGCAATGTTGTCACGTGTACTTACAGATTTATTTTGTACACATTTTTATCAATGCCTGTTTTTTGAGTTACTGTTACCTGTGTAGTCAACATAGACGATCGGATATTGTGCAGCGGTTACTTAATCATAATTTGGTTAATTAACTACTATTTTAATTTTTTGGTATTGAAATACTGCAGAAAATATATTTCCAAATAAACAAAATTCGTAATAATATTTTAAAATTTATTTGCTTCTTTGATTCATTGGTAGAACTGATTCATACGTCAAAAAACTTGACAAAGTCTGTAGCAGTGTAAAACCACACTGTTTACCAATAAATTCATGAATTAATTCATGAAGAACTTCGTCAATTTATTGATGCATAAATTGTCAATGTAAAACAGCTTTTATAACTCGGAAACGGTGCGTTGAATCGAAAAAATAATTGAAAAAATCTCCTCCACACCCCTGGTTCTGATTGTCCGTTCTGCGTTGAATGGAAAAGACCCGAAGTCCGTATGTGGAAAATAAATTTCGGAAACAAGAGATGTGTTCTGCAGGCTGGTCTAAATAATAATTATCTTTGGGAGCTTCAGTAATTTTATTAAACTTTTTATAAGACAAGCGTCCTCACGTAGACATAGATGATACACGATCATAAACCAGAGTAGTACAGTCCTTTTATCACTGAACATATAGAACTATCACGGATATGGGGTACGTTCGGAAATATAGTATAAATACACAGTACATATTATAACAAGATGTGTGAGGTGATACAGTAAAAAAAGTCTTATAACTCGTTGAATCGAAAAAATAATTAAAAAAATTCTCCCCTACACCCCTGGTTCTGATTGTCCGTTCTGCGTTGAATGGAAAAGGTCCGAAGTCCGTTTGTCGAAAAACAAAAAAGTTAGTCAAAAATTGCAATAGCAGTAGCGAACGCATTATCTTATCTCTGTAAGGGATCATTGATTGATGATTTGTTGTTTTTTTAATAAATTCCGTATTCAACTACTCCTTAAGGTTCCAGCCATTTTACATTGTGTTAATTTTTTTGAACACCTTGTGTCACAAATATGAGCACTACCAATGGCATCCATGATATGCAACACTTGTGTCAATAATTATTTTACCTAACTGAAGAAATCAGCAATAAGAGTACCCATCTAAGGATACACAACCTGTATAATGCAATTTTTTTAAACATAGGTGTTTTTATCGTACCAGACTGGAAATCGACGCACAAATCTAAAAACATTAATTTGAAGTTTTTGAATTCTCCCATTCCAAGGTGATATAAAATAAATAATTAATTATGTAAATTCATAGTTATAATTCTAACTTGATTTATTTTATTTAGCATTTAAGGCAAATGTGATTTCCAAACAGAAGATAAGTTCCATATCTCTTTAATTACATAATTGAAAACATTAAATTTTTAATGTTTAGCAGTTATGATTTGGCAACAAAGCCACCGCTAGAACTGCTGCCTATTACCAAGTAGAAGAGTTACCACGCTAAATTTTATAGGTGGAACCCGGCTAAGGAGACCCTGCATCCATTTTAGGCTGCCAATTTCCATCATTTAACAAGCAGTCTGTGGCGATAAGCTATATTGTCTGTGGTCTTACATTTGATCCGAAATTGTCATTTACACATGTCACACATTAAAGTCTATTTACCATAAATTACGAAGTATTCATATGTTGAAGCCTTTATCTATCCCTGTTCAAGACATTTTAGGGTTTTTATTAGACTATTTTGAACAGGAAGCACCTCTCTTACCATTTTAAGGGAGTAAGTTGTAGCAATATTTAAAATTCATGTCAAAAATGTCAGGTTCTGCCTGATAAAATTGCGAACCTTATTTTGGAACAACTAATTATAGAGATATGGACAAATATGACAATAAAATGATCATGAAGTATTCTTGCTAAAAGAATTATTATTCCTATTCTATTTACAAGTAAGTATAATAAATATACAACAGCATTATTATACAACTACATGTATCGTTTATTAGTACAGCTTGTATTCTTCTATAAGCAGCGCTTTTTTAAGGGTATCGTCATCGTCGTTTGAGGGGTTCAAGATTTGATGGAGGATATTCTCTACAATCGGACTGATGAGGTTGGTGACGACCTGGCGATGCTCGTTGACGAAAGTGACGAAATTATCGTTAAGGGCCGCGCTGATTAGGGAACTGAATTCTGTGTTGTCGATCAACCCATGTAAATCGAACTGAAATAAATAAATAACAATATTTTTGCTTGTGTATTAAGTTTTGTCTATAAAATTTTACCCGAACGACACTGAATTTAATTTCTCATGTTTATTGCATTCACAAGGTATGCTATAATAGTCCTGGCGTTAGAGCAGTAAAAGTAGGCTTTGGCGTTTGTGTCATCTTTTATCGTGCATACTCATTCTGAAACTAGTACGGAGCCCGGAAGCGCAGCTGCTCTCAGTCATCCCCACTCCAGCTCTGCCGAGAAATTCCAATGACCGCGGTAACTTTCTTTATTAAGCTTTTATCTTCTTTAAGACCTCGCCGAATGTGAATCTGATCTCGGATTTGTGATCAGTGACCCCGAAAACCCCCGTGTTATTTTTTGAAAATTTGGTTGGCCGCCATCTTCAATTTTGTAAAATTGACCTTGAAGTCGTAATCGGCGACCCCGAAAACCCCCTTATACCAAACTAGCGGCCCGTCCCGGCTTCGCACTGGTGGACATTTATTTTAAACATTTTGGGATATAAAAAATATAGCCTATGTTACTCAGGGATAATGTAGCATTCTAATGGTGAAAGAATTATCGAAACCCGCCCAGTAGTTTTTGAGTTTATTCGTAACAAACATACATACATACAAAAATACAAATCTTTCCTCTTTTTAATATTAGTATAGATTTGGCGCGAAACTGTTATTTTTTGAAAATTTGGTCGGCCATCTTGGATCCGCCATCTTGAATTTTACAAAATTGACCTTGGATTCATAATCAACGTCCCCGAAAACCTCCGTATACCAAATTTGGCGCGAATCTATTTTTTGAAAATTCGTGAAATCTGACCTTAATTGACCCGTTTTTTTGAGGTTAGAAAAAGAACCAACATATCTGACCGCGGATTCACTTTCAGTGGAGTCTTAACTATATTAACGAACATTTGAATATGGAAAAAATTTTTTTTTTTTTTCCTAGCACTTTCTCGTGAATTTTTGCTATTTTTGCCATGTTTTTGAGGTTAGGAAATTCCTGTGATGTGATAGCTCAATTCTGACACCGGATTCGTGATCAGAAGGCAAAAATACTCAGGATAACATGTCGCATGAAAAGTAAATACAACTTCTCTTGTGTGTGGCTGTGTTATTATTAAATGTATGCTTCTATATCTCAGAAATCTACACATACACCAAGAAAATTAGCGAAAATATAAGAAAAACTCGAAAAAAGTCCTATCCGTGATATTATTGTAAAATTGTCTAAAGGAACATAATACATATCTCATCTCGTGAGTCAAAAACTTTGATTAACTAACTTTTCTATTTAAACAAATAAGTGAGGAAAACAGTTTTTTCACTTTGCAGGGTAAACCATCAATTTTAGCGAAAAGTGACTCTCAGACAGCTTGTAGGGAGTAAAATTATCAACAAAATGAGACTTGTTAAATTAAAATCGGTTAATAAACAAAAAAGTTATTGCAAAAAACAAGAAAAGTGCCCATTTTTTAATTTGTTTATAATTATCGCAGGTGCAATTGTTTTCGCACAATTCAATTTGTTTATAACGGAGGCTCCAAAAGTTATGAACTTTAAGCCTCTGTACAGGCGTTAATTTTCAACCAAACATGATTCTGTAATCGTCATTGTAATCTTAAAGACGTAATTAAGCGACCTATTAAAAAATATCACCGTTTTTTTGACATTAACATTCTCAAATTATGCATTAAAAAACCGTGCGTGTTTCGCTTATAAACAATTTGAATAAAATTGTTGCTACTTATGCTATCTCACCGAAAATAGATACAATGGATAGCTGGCATAAAAATACAAATTTAAAAGAAAAAGCACCCTCTACGACCAACAGGAGCCAAGATAAGAATTTTTTTTTTAAATCGTAGCGCAATTGTTTATAAATATTAAGAGTTGAATTTTTGCAAAATTGATGCGCGCTGTAAATTTTGCAATATCTCGACTTCTATTCATCGTAGAAACTTCTTTTTTTTTAATTTTTTTGCAATAACTTTTTTGTTTATTAACCGATTTTAATTTAACAAGCCTCACTTTTCAGTCACTTTTCGCTAAAATTGATGGTTTTTCCTGCAAAGTTAAAAAAACTGTTTTCCTCACTTATTTGTTTAAATAGAAAAGTTAGCTAATAAAAGTTTTTGACTCAGGAGATGAGAGATGTCTTGTATTATGTTTCTTTTTCTTTTCGAGTAAAAATTTTATTTGTTTGGCCTAACAGTAGAATGCTGTCGTATTTGGCTAAAAAGCAAGGGGTTACGACGTAGTTTTTATATGTGCAAGATTTTGTCGATTGCATAGAAAATTTCCTAGGCAATAAATAATTGTTTATAGAGTAAAATGTTAAACAATTAAACGAAATTCTAAATGGTTATAAAAGTGTAAAAATAGGTATTTTTAGCATTGATCATTGTTTATTATGACAACAAGTATCTCTAAAAAATTGTGTGCCCTTTCTAAACCTTAATTTAAACCCACGGTAAGCCATAAACTTTTTGAAATTTTCTTAATTAACAATTCGTTTCGATCGAAAACCACGATAAATATTTATAAATATTTACTTATTTTAAATTGCTCCAAATATACATATAATTTTCTACTATTTTTCGGCCATTGTTAATGCAAAATTCAACTTTTTTGATTCGCAGTTGTTACAACTTTATCAAATAAACACAAAAATAAAGATTGACTTTTTTTATTTAGGGCTTACTTTCAATGTTACATTAAAAAATATGTCGAAAAACGGGTAATTTTTCATTCTTTTTGTATGTTTGTTGTTCCCCTAAATTTAGCAACGGTTTTTTGGAATAGGCAAGCTCTGATTCTTATTCTACATAATATTCGGGATTTTTCTGTACAACAAAATAGATGATTTCAAATACAAACGCCTCGAATGCTCTACCGCTTGGACTATATATAAAATTTTTGAACATAATGTTTTTGACAAATAAGGTTCGCTTCTCTATTAGCTGTTCTAATGTTAAATTTGTTATCTATTGTCCTTAACTTGGATCTTTGTTGGCTACAAATACTAAAAGAAGAAGTAAGTAATAGAATAAACACCATATGATATTTATAGCCACCAGAATCAAATAACAAACCTATTAAATTTTAAGTAGAACAGTGGAAAAAAACGTCGTAAGTTCTGATAATAAAAAAAGATCGATAGATTCTTCTAAACATTAATTACAATTGAAGGAATACATGTGCGTTTCTTATTTGCCTGCTTTGCCCAGTAAAGATTTTTAGTTATGCAAAAATAGTGACGTAAGGGTTATTTATTTTTTTTTCATACGTGATGGAAAACAGGTAAACTATACCACAAATAAATAACTTCAGTCGATACTTTTGTACCGAATTCAAAATTCAAGTTTAGCCAATTAACTTGAAGCACCCTGCACTATCTTAGTTTGAAGCCAAAATTAACTTACAGTAGCGGCACTAAGACCAATGCCAATGGTAACGTTGTCCAAACTAATTCCATCGGTAATATCTGCATGTCCGGCCACGGTAACATCAAAATCTTCAAGGACAATACTGAAGGAAAAAAATGATTAGAAACGTCACACGAAGACATTGTATACTCACTTCATCTTGCCACTACCGTATAGGGGCAGAAGCTTAAGAAGCACCATGTCTGCCCAGTAGTCGAGGTTCACAATCAATTTATTGATCTCCAATTCTAAGTCAACATCCATACTCGTGAGATTAACTGAGATTTGTTTTGCAACCAAATTCTTAATGCCTATAATATGAGCATCAGTCACATTAAGAGCACCGCTGAAAATTTTTGAACATAATTTGTTTGGTGTTTTCAACAGAGAATCTTATGAATATAGTTAATTAGGCCAAGAAAATAAGCTGGGAAATTACCATTTCGCGACTTTTTGTTTCGACAAGTTGAATTTATCATTATAGATGCTAAATATTATGTACAATAACACATTAGTTTCCACAGTCATAAAAATGGGGGGAAGATTGTTTACAGGGTGGTTAATTGTATAATTTTTACGTAAATTCACGTTTTTCGCTTATAACTTTTTTCTGTTCATTTCCACGAGAAAACAGTAATGTACTTTTTTCGTCTTCAAAAGACCTACAAAATTAGTCCTCGAGTGTCAAAAAATATTGATTAGGTCAAAAGTTATAAACAAAAGAAGTTTATTTAGTTGCTTTTCAACGAATCTTGACGATTTTTTTTTAACTTAATGCTCTTTTCATAAGGTTTCCGAATATGTAACAATATATAACTATACCATGTTCGTACGTCGTATATTTCATTTTGCAACTAAGGCTAAAAAATAAAAAAAATTCCAGGTTGCAAATTTGAAATTAAAAAAAAATGATAGATTTCAACTTATTATTATGAAATCTACCATGAAAAAAATCAGTGCGATTGTGGAAGATCATCGGGATCGTCCAGACTAATAATTAGTTAAATTGTTTATAAGGCCATAAATTGTAAACTATTCAACTTACCGATTCCAGATTTCGTGTGAGTTATTAGACAGTGATAAGGAATGAGAGGATGCGATGCCAAAACGTTCTGGTAATAATAACGCAGTTTATAAGTGTTTAATTCAAAAGTCATAAATAAATTTCTTCTGTTTATAACTTTTGATCTAATCAATATTTGTTAACGCTCTAGGGCTAGTTTTGTAGGTCTTTTGAAGACGAAAAAAAATATATGTTACTGTTTTCTCGTGGAAATGAACGGAAAAAAAGTTATAAGCAAAAAACGTGAATTTACGTAAAAATTATACAATTAACCACCCTGTAAACAATCTTTCCCCCGTTTTTATGACTGTGGAAACTAATATGTTATTGTGCATAATATTTAGCATCTATAGTGATAAATTCAGCTTACTGAAATAAAAAGTCGCGTCCAGCTCTATATTTTCTGGCATATAATACTTACAGGGAGAGAACGGTATTCTGTTCTATACCTTTTAAGCCAATGCTACATTCTTTTCAGTATTCTTAGAACATAGTTAATTACCGTTTAATCGAATCAAATATAAACTCCTTTTGGAATCCATATGAAGTTAGATAATGATAAAAAATAATTCATGATATTTGGAATTAATAAAAAAAATTCAAAATATAGCATGTATGTTTTCAAAGACAAGCTTGGTATAGTTTTACAATTTAATTTTGGCCTGTACTATGTCAATGTTATTCAGAAAACTAAATAAAGGAGGATGTTCTAGCACCTCACTATTTTAGCAATAACTTGAAAACGAAAAAAGATATCGGCCTTCGGTTTGTGTGTTTGTTTTCCTTAATAAATGGTCTATCAAGCCATGGAAAAAAACTTATAATCGTTGCATTTAATTTTTTTAGTAAACGGAGACAATTGCAAATCTTTTCTAATTAACTTCGTCTACCGTTGCTCAGGAAAATAATATTTTTATTCCCTGTCATAAATATATATTTTATTAATAGTTATTTAAAATGAGTCGTCGTTTTTTGAAATCGGTTAAGGCATTTAGAAGTTATGACAATTTAAAAATTTTAAGATGGCGTCCTCTGTACTAGCGTTGCTATGGTAATAACAAAAAAAAAGTTCAAATAAAACTTGTGAAGTGCCTAACAGTGTATATAAAAAGTGTATTTTCAACTTAGGTTATATAAGCGAAATTTTCTGTAACACAACAGCAGTTGCGCCCTCTAGCGGTGAAGTTACAAACTTGAACATATTTTAAATCAATTTCTTTTGGTCATATTTATTGATAAATTTTTTACTCCATAATCGTAGCACGTCTAGTTTCCTATATACAGCTGATCCGTACCGTTAATGGATCACCCTGTATATTAGAAAAAATAATTATTTATTTGAATCACCTTATAAAAAAGTATAAAATGTCATAGCTAATACAAAGTATTCGTTTTCATACCAGATATAAAGTTTCCGTTACTTGGAATAACACTAATATTAATTAGGTATATCGGCTTAAGGAATTAATGGAGAAATGTGGGGTTATCATTCGAAATACACTAACAGTTTTCTCCGTATAGGTACATTAGGTACTAAACGATTTATTTATTTGGAATTTGAAATCCCACCTTAAATTTATAAAGACCTAGTCTAATTCAAATTATGTGTTGCATATTTACCTCAATGTATCGCTTTCTTCGCTATCAAAATCGATATGTAACGAATCAATTGTGACAGGTTCTGTCAAGTTGGCTAGATTACTATTTATTGTCTTGTTGATGAAATCTCCGATCATGTCTCTCACCACAACCATATGGTTAGAATCTAGAAATATTATACCTTTATCCGTAATTTAGTCTAATTATAAATGTTATATAAATTGTTTCGGTGAAGAGTATTATAAAATACATTCCGTTATAGCCTGTAATTGCAATAATTTAAGAAAGAATATATATGTATTACTAGACGTAATGACGTTTCAGTAAATTCTAACGATGAATTCAGTCACAGACATCACAGTATCTGTTTATTAGTTATCTATTTATTAATTATGCCCATAATTAAAATTCCTTTTGTGTTCTCGTATAGATAATATTGTATTTTCTATAATATGTCAACCACTTATATGTATTTGAATTGATAAGATTCTAATAGCTATTATGTGTTATTGTCTTGAATACCAATGGTGGCAGATAAAACCACAATAGAAGGCACTTGAGATTGAAGAACAAAAGGAGATCATTGCTTAAAATATCAAACAAAGAAAACGCTTTTACGATCGAGCGTATTAAATTTTACAACGATACATGTGGAATATATTCGGTGTTCATTCTTAAACAACAGATAATAATGGAAAATAATGAAATTTCATGTAAAACAAAATTTTTTTAAATATGTATCATATTTTGAAATGTTTCAATACATAATGAAATACGTATAACTATTTACGTCAAACGCTGTATTAAAATTGTCTTAAAATGTTTTAAAAGCAAAGAAAATTTAAATACGATTTATAATAATCTTTTTCCAATTTATTTTATATAAAAAAATAAAAAATCTTACCATATTGAGGAAGAGCCAAGGCAAAACCCAAAACGGCTAGAAGTACAAATGTCTTCATTTCGAACTATAGGTTCCTCCTAAAAAATAATATCGCATGAGCGAAATATTAACAAAATAAAAATAAACTATTGTTAACTTACCTTACTTTTGATCTAGCGACTAGTGCAAATCGAGCTGCGATTGTAGTTATAAAACAGAATAGTCAATTTTAAGTACTTCATCAGCAGATTAAATATATTTCTTTTTTTTGCTATCGGCACTTGATCTACATCTAAGCGAAATCGCAGATTGGTTTGTAGCAATATCTTCGGAGATAATCGGAGATATTAACGGAGACAAAAAAATTGCCAGGTGCAACTTTTCTAGTGTTTATCTGGTACTTTAGTCAAAGCAGATGTGAACAGAAATATTCGAGGTGTCACAGAAATAAGTGACAAAATTTTAACCAGGCGTTCTAGTCTTCAAAAGCAAGAAGTTTTGTCTAAGATTTTTTTTGAAAACCTTAAATCTTTAATAAAAAATAGCAAACCAAAATGTGAGCTTTCGAAAAGATATTAGCCAAAAATTGTTGCTCTTAAAGTGATTGTAAAGTTAATGCATGGTTAAAAATAATGGCAAGTTTTTCTAGGATACTCTGTATATCTAATAGGCAACTCAACCTTTAACAACAATACAAGGATCAGCGCAGATCTACTAGATTTAGTTGCAAGGTTTAATTATACCTAATAAATATGTATAGACTTAATTTATAATTTATAACAAATGTATAATTCTGATTTTTATCTTATCAAAATGTACTAAATTCAATATGTACGATAAGCTATGCTCGACTAAAAACATGACTCGTTGATGGGCTATATTATGACCGAATTAGTATCATATCAACCATCCAAAATAAAAACTAAAAATGATGCTACTAGCAGATATATTGAAACAGTCAAATATTGGAATCGTTCAAAAAAATGTCTTGTATTCTTCTTCTGGTTTATCATCACTCTTGACAAATAAATTATGAATTTGTATGAATTAGCTTAATATCCTTAGAGTCAAAATATGAAAGTTTTGTTAAATTATCATATTTTGAGCTGAAAAATGCACTTAGGTGTTTTTATGAACCGTGGGAGGCCTCCATGTGTTAAAAGAACAACAAACGAATATATTATCAACCATTTTTAATATCTCAAAAAAATTTACTGACAACACAATGCAACATTCAAGTGTTTACTTTAACTTTCACTTCTTTGACATGTAGGTTTTCTGTTGCAGGCTCCAGAATCGAGTTGATGATGGTTTCTACGATGGGGCTAATGGTCTGAGAAATCATCTCTGCGTTGTGGTTGACGAAATTTACAAAATTGTCCGTAACAACGTTGCTTATGAGGGCGCTGTACTCCGAATTGTTGATCAGTCCTTTCAAATCAAACTGAAATATAAATACGAGATAAAATATTTACCAAAATATATGTAGTAAAATATGTGATTTAAAATAGTTAAAATACTTGTTTGAGTACTTTAACGTCGTCACAATAGTTATTTGTTTAACTGGACGAGGCGCAGCCGAGAATATTAAAGCATCCAAGGCATTAAATCTACTTTACTGCCAAGTTAAACACATAATTATTTCGCCGATCAATTTTAATTTTATCATAATAGCAAACAAATCTATTTATTCCTTACATGCTGTTCTAATTTCACTATAAACGTTTACAATAAATAAAATTACTTTCGTTAAAGAGCACATTTTAATTATTTATTTTGCTGCAGTAAAAATTATCCTAATAGTCCACGGACCCACGTACAAAGAAAAAAATTATTATCAGCAAGCTGTAACTTTGCGTGCAGCTTAAGTTTGATGAGTCTCCCAAGATTTGACTACGAGGAAAATTCAACAGTGGTAAGTTTTCCCGTGATTTTCAGGAAAACATGTCAATCTGGCATAAACATGTGACTACGAGGAAAATTCAACAGTGGTAAGTTTTCCCGTGATTTTCAGGAAAACATGTCAATCTGGCATAAACATGGAATGTTATGACCAGCACTTTTTTTTAAGTTTACATGAAATATATTTTAGAAACCCCCCAAAAAATTTGTCCGACAAAAATGTTGGTATTTTGAGTTTGTTCCCCACCCCAAATATGTCGATTTGGTGACATTATGGTTGGTGATAACCAGCAAGCTGATTTTTCAGGGAGGGTTTGGTAATAAGATTTGAAATGAAAGTATCTTATTGTCCGACAAAATTCTTGAGAAGGTTTTGCAGTCCGACGCCCCGAAGATGTCGACTTAACGACAACATGGTTGGTGATAACCAGCAATCTGGTTTTGATTTTTTTGGTATTGTGTTCTCTGGTGACACTTTAGTGCCTGACAGCTGTCACTAAAATTAGGCTTTTAGTGTCGATCGGCTAAAAGGTTTTTAATGTAAAATGTTAGGAAGGTACTTACGGTGGTCTCAGTTAAAGAGAACAGGAGGGCGACGTCTTTAATTTTAATATTTTCTTCTTCATCTGTGTTACTCGCTGCTTGTACCTCTACTTCTACTTCATCGAAGTTAATGCTGAAATGGGAATAGATATTTTTATGGTTTCTCTTCCATAGTTGCAAATTATCGTGTTAATTCTCTGTCGAATAAAAGTTACAAGCGGCAAAAAATATTACTAAATTTGCAACTAAAAGACAAAAGATTATAAAAAATGCTAAATCTTGCACGTAGGTGTAAATATATAACTAAAACTTTTTTGTTCTCAATTTGATTGACAGCCAAAGAAATATAATTGTACGTAATCCTCTGCTTACCCCATCCTTCCCTGCCCATAGAGCGGAACTAAATTTAAGAGCAACATATCTGCCCAGTACTTAAAATTTACACTGAGATCGCATAAGGCGATCTTCATGTAAATTTTATGGAGCTCCATGTTTACTTCAATTTCCTCAGCAACGAAGTCTTTGACTCCGCCGATTTTAAGGCTGCTGACATTGAAACCTCCACTAAAATAAGCATATTGTGAAAAATTATGAATGAATATTGTAAGGGTACTTTTTGCACAGCATATGTAAACCATCAAATTCAGATGAGCGAAAATAGCAGTCGACCCTTCACAGATTACTAGGTGTGTGCTATGAACAGATACCTTAAACATTTTGCATTCGGAAAACGTACTCGATAAAACTCAGAACGAGTGGAAATTTATTTTAAAAATATAAATTTTTATTCAGACAGTACACTGAGTAATGGTTTTCATAAATAAGCTTCTCCGACCACATTTGCTACATGAGATTAGTTGATCTTCAAATAACGTTGAACACGATCTCAAAAAATAAAGCGCTGTTCTCCATCCGAGGACACCGAAAACAGTTGATTTAGAAGAAAGTGTCGACAACGCAGCGAAACTGCTGCTTTGCATATGCTGTGTGTTTTGTTTAACTTAAAAATGAGATACATTTCAGGAAATTCTGTTACCTGCTTTATCTTTCGTTCAAATCAAGTGGGTTCTTACCTTAATGCCTCTTCTTCTCCAAAATTAAAACTTCTTGAAGCTATACTAATTGGGTCAGTCAAGTTGGCCTTGAATCTATTCAGAGTAGTGTTTATCGTGTTTTCAATTACACCACCCAGCTGGTTTGTATATTGAATTTCTAGAAACCATGGTAGATATTATGAAATTTCAGTTATAATTCACAATTAAGTGTCCTATACATTCTTACCTTCAAGGTTTTGGGATGCTGCAATATATAGAGCAATAAGATTTAATGTGAAACAATTTAAATATTTCATATTTTCCTGGTGTTATGCCACTGTGACCACAAATATTACTACAATACTTATAGTTTTGTTGAAAACTATTTTGTCAATAGAATCGTGACCTTCTTGAATTTTGATGTTACAGATAGATAAAAACTGATAAAGTGATAAAAGTCTTGAGTTGCACAATACAGGGTGTCCCCGGGAACTGGTCGATCGATATCTAGGAAACTACTGCTCCGAAAAATTTAAAAATTTAGCAACATGGCAATGTCCCTGGGGCGGACATAACTAAAATATCTAGAACTCTCCAGCACTTCCGGTTATACCGAAAGTCGACACCAACTTCGTTATTTTTAATGGGACACCCTATATACTATTACATTTTCGTATTCTACGTGAAATTTGAGGGTCACTTTATTAAATATTCCCTATACCCAGGAGTTATAGATTTTGAGATATTAATTTTTAAAGAAAAAATTTGACAGATACAAGGGTTCGTGGAGATGCTAGTAACTCTTTTCAGGAGCGTGATATCAAGTGGATTTTTGGTACCTGTAAAGGACATAGGTAAAACTACATTATGGTATACCAACAAGTTAAAACATTTAATACTAGATGTTTCATTTTTGCCGTTACATTTTGATAACTTCAAACAGCTATAACTTTGTTAACTTAAATGAAACACTCTGTCGTATGCAGATTTAAATTTCCTTTCAAGCCATATAATGACTGTTATGGTTGCAGTTATTACTTTTAGAGATATTATTTTTTGGACAGTTTTTCTCGTATCTACTGTCAAATTGGCCACGAGTAGAAACACTCCAAAAAGAATTGAAACAACATGACATTTGTCATGTTAGTTGTCAAGTTATTGTGTCTGAATAGTTTCTGCCGAAAATTTAAATAAAAATGCCTGAGGATCGTTTAAATTATACTAATGAGGATTATTTCAATTTGTTTGTTATTTAGGTATGGAAAATGTGATAAAGTAATTTCAGGAACACGTAGAGAATCTGCTGCTTTCTTCGATAAATAGCAAGCAAATTAAAATAATTCTCATAAGTATAATTTAAACGATACCCATGCATTTTTATTTAAATTTTCAGCAAAAACTATTACATACATAACAATAATTCTAACTAACAACTAACTTCACAAATGTCAAGTTATTTTAATTGTTTTGGAGTGTTTCTGGTCATGGCCAATTTGACAACAGGTCTGGATACGAGAAAAACTGTCCAAAAAGTAGAAGGATTATATGGCTAGAAAGAAAATTCCAATCTGCATACGATTGAGTAAAAAATACAGGGTGTTCCATTTAAGTTAACAATGTTATAACTGTTTCAAGTTATCAAAAGGTAACTGCAAAAATGAAACACCTAGTATTAAATGTTTTAATTTGTTGGTATACTATAATTTATTGTTACTTATGCTCTTTGCAGGTACCAAAAATCCACTTGATATCACGCTGCTGAAAAGAGTTACTAGCATCTCCGCAGTCCCTTGCATCTATTAAAGTTTTTCTTTAAAGTAGATATGATTTTTAATGGAAGACTTGTTGAGAACCGCTGAATTTTCTCTGACATTTCCGACTACCACAGATATACAGAACTTTAAAACTCTTATCTTTTTATATGAAATAAGAACAGAAGAAAAACAATTTTCCTATTTATAGGAAAAACACCGTTCTGGTCGAGGATCATCATCAATCGACAGACGACCACTTTTTCATGAAAACAATTCGTAACATTGCGTGCGACCCAGAGCCTCATCTCCGTAAGTTTATTTCTAAAGTTGAAACGTTTCCCTAAAAGTTTTTCTCAGTTTAACATTTTAACATTTTCCAGAAAATCATGCGTTTCAAATATCGTCATCAACACTTAAATACATTGCAATCAAATAACAACATCACGAAAACTAAATGAGATATCAACAATCCAATACAATGTGGTTACAGAGGAACTAATGCGCAACGCAGTGCTGCCAACTGCACGCCACTAAATATCTCCATCAGCGTGCAAATCAAAAATTTAATCAATGGTTCTAATTTTTGAAATTTTCTTCTATAAATTCGCTTTTTACAGTACACCTTCGTAAAAATATATTTGATAATTGAAAAGCATCCCCATTGTTTGATATAAACTTAAAAGCTTGTCTTTTGAAAAGAACTTTGTATTGTTCATTTTACTTTTTCGAAACCAGACTTTTTTATAATACATTAAATACATACCTAAAAGTTTAAGTTTAGTAAGTAAAAGTGGGAAGTTGTAGAACATTTTAATCATTTAATAATATTTTTATTAAGTAAAACAATTTCAAATCAATACACAATTAAACTCTAGTGTCTATTTTATTAACGTAAACCTATTCTAGTTATCTTTTTTGTACTTTGAATTATTTAATATGTTTTGAACAATAAAGAGCTAAGCATTGAAAATAATATTTCAATGATCGACGGAGACACTTCTTCTGAATTAAAACCCTCTATGTTTGACAAGTACTGAAAAAAAATGAAATTAAAAAAGTAACAACACCAAATTTGTTGTAAATCTACTTTTGAGTCTGGTCTATAATATAAGACATACGATTTTCTAAAAATCTTACATAAATACCTACCTCTCCAACTATGTAGTCGTAAGGTTCTGCCGATGTAGTAATGTTAGCTAGTACGTCGCCTAGAATCTTATTCACAGGACCTTCTGCTAGTGTTGATATTGCGTGCTCATTTGCGTTGAAAAGATTGGCGACATTGCCGGTTAAAAATTCGTTAAACTCGTTGCTGAAGGTTTCATCATCTAACAAGCCGTCAAATTTAAACTAAAAAAAATAAAATGAAAAACTAAATAGCAATTAAAAAACTATATATGTATAGAAATTAATTTATAAGTTAGGTATCTACTCATTTTTTTAAGTTTTTGCTGATGTTTAGATTTAGACTTTCAAATCAACAACTTGTTCTTTTATATGTATGTATTTGTATACTTAACTTACCACTGCATCATCAAGATGCATACGCATCCCTGATACGGTAATATTTATTGCTGGCAACAATGAAACAACAGTCAAATTTCCTTCAACTACAAATTTCGTCAGCTCCACACTGAAAATGATAAAATTGACGTTTAATTTGATAGTAATGTTTTTTAACCCCATTTTTGTAGATTTTTTCGATTTTTTCAATAATAATCATGATTCATTCGATTTGTAACTAGTCATATTTTGTAAAAAATTTAATTATAAATATTTTTTTAATCTTCAAATTTCGCCTAAAATCAACTCCTGAAAAGATACATTAAATAGGAAAAAAAATATGACATTTTCGAATTTTTTTAACGTATTGTGCCGCCAAACGTTAAGCCCACGTTTTTTATGCGCATAGAAAAATTTTCATTTCTAGTGATATTTGAAAGCCAAAAAGCCAAAAATCTCCGTGGATATACGTTTCACCTAAACGAAAACAGATACCGCCTAGTCTAATAATGAGATTTATACAATAAATAACGATTTTCTTATTAGATTTATTATATTCTCAATGTAAACTAAAGCTAAAATTAAATATTTCATGAATTACCTTCCTTTCCCTTCTCCAAAAATGTTGAGCAGTGGTGAATTGGCTAAAGTCACATCAGCCACATAGTTCAAGTTTAATTTGATAGAATCGATTGTCAAGACAAACCCAGATGGTAAAATGTTATAAATTATATTCATATCGAAAGCCTTAAGACCCTGTATATTCACATTGCTCGCACTGAGAGATCCCCTGGAACAGACAAAAATTATTGTCTTTTCCGATTTTGACTATTTTCTTGTAACATTTTTTTAGAAACCTGCAAGGTTAGGAATAGGATTGGAAAAGATAATAGAGGAACTACTTTTTTAAAGAAAAGGAAAAGGTTTAGTCTACTTACGAGACATTGTTAATGCCTGACAAGTCAAGATTTAGTGTCTCTATTGTTATGGGTTCTGATATTTTATCTCTCAATTTTTCTATGTATCCACTGATCGTTTCTTGTATAGCTAGAAGAAAATAATAATAATAATAATAATATTGTGAAATGCTTAAAATTCATTTCATTAAGTTTATGTTGAGCGAAATAACTTATTTAATGAAATATTTATGACATATGTATATCCTCTTTAACTAGAAATGCACAGATCCCAGGCATCTATAATACATATGTATTAGCTTTTAGTGACTGCTAGTGTTGAAGTATGTACTTACTATCTTGATGTCCGAAAGAAAATAGCATGGAAAAGAAAAAAACTAAGAGTTTCATTTTGTCACAGATTTTTATATTGATTTAACAAAATTATCGACAAATAGATTTTTGCTAATGCTAAAACTGTGTTTGAAACATATACGTTATCAATTATTATCAGGCTTGTCTATTCAAAACACTTTGATTTATCTTGGTAGATAACATCATATATTCAAAATATCATTATTATTTTTCACTTAGGCGATATGGCTTGCTTATTATAGGAAACGGAATACGAAAATAGCGGACCTAAATATTATCGCCCGTATTTTGACCCTATTCTACTACTGCCTTGTATAAATGAAGCAGACAAATGAAAGTTAACATTAATAGCTTTAAATTAATAATAAAAATCATTTACAACCGTCTTTAAAAACGAAAGTACAATTTGAGAAGGAACCTTTAACAGTAACACCAGAAAAACTTCCAGAAAAACTACCTAAATTTTCTTTGCCATCGAATAAATGTTGTTTATTTTCCCTCACAATCAATTCAGAAAAATTGGTATCACTAGTTCTGTCGATTCCTGCCACCACCAATCACTTTTCAACAAAAATAAAAGAATGGTGTTTTATCCTGAATGTTTCAGACCGTTATAAAATGTATTCATATTACCAATTAATTCAGTGGCATAGAAGTTTTACTTTAAATAGGGAAACGATTTCGCTGTTTCTCCGCCACTGGTTTTTGAATTTGGACTGTATACTTACAAAACTAGGAGAATTATTTGAAAAAAAATGTGTAAGTACCAAATTTGGATAAATTTGATGAAGTGGTTTTCCATATATTTAAAAAAATTGTTTTATTTTTGTTAATTTCAACGCCCTCTATTTCATAAACGATGGCTTTCTGCTCCTATGTTGATAGCGTAAAGTGATGTTAATTTTTACTGTTTAGTACTTTCCCGAAGATTGTCTATTAAAATCTGAACCACCCTATATATTGAAAAACTGTTTTCATTCTCATTTCCATTTAATTAGTAAATTTAAAATTGATATAAAATCAGATGTCTAAATAAAAAATAAAACGTTGTATGTACCACGGGAGATACTAGGATAATTATGCCCTTAGGCGACTTGCTTAGAAGAAACCTGTCGCCTGCGGGCATTATCATCCCTGTATCTAACTCGGTACGTAAATAATACATTATATCCCCAAAAATGTAAATGTGACGTATTGTTTTCTCCTGAAAAATTGTTTTTATAGCAAGGATATTTTTAAATCAACACACAAATGAACTACAACTACATCATTTATTTTATATTTATCTTATTAACATTAATTTGCAACATCTAAAGTTGTAAAGTTAACATCTATATTTACTGCAGTGTAATGTATCAATACTTATTTTAAAGATAATATTTCTGCAAACGATTGAAACGCCTCTTCTGAATTCTGTAAAAAAAGAAATATTAAAATTCGCAGGACGTGCCGCTTAATATACTCAAAGGCGTTCCTCACAAATTAGTATAAAAATAATGTTTTATCTAGTTATTTGTAGAGAATTTAGTCATAATAGGTAATTGTGTTATTTTTCGTTTGTATTTTTTAAGAAAAAATAGCTGTAATTGTTTTCTTACATTTTCCAGAAAAGTTTACATTACTGTAAAGAGAATGAAATTATCTTTAAAATGACGTATCACAAGCCATACTATACAATTTAACATAAATGGTGGGAACCTTCTGGAAGGGGGTAAGAGGAGGGGTAAAGGAGGGTAAGGGGAGGGAGTAAGGGGGATAAATGTAAACATTTGTTTACACATAAAAAAATTACACAAGGAATGAAGTAGGTATATGTGAACTTTACCTAAATCTCACTATTAATCTAAATATCTTGCTGTTCCGGGACTTTTGGGACGCAGTGTATACAGGATGTTCCATTTAACATTCCCGCTGCCAATATCTTCGAAATGAAGAAATTTCTTTTAGTTCCGGGAACTGGGGTTGTTAGGTCTCTCGAATAGCTTCAAATTGCAGTTAGTATTATTAGTTTAAATCATTCTGTGTAGATGTCGTGGCGATACTAAAAAAATTTTTATTCCTGAACGTGGAAATGCGCTCCATCTGAAAGATCGTTAAATTTTGAGTAATTTTTGGAATATAATTGATTGTTTGTCAGTTATATTTTAAAATAATATTTTGTCTCAGTGCGATTTAAATAAAATAATAAATTTTCCTGTTACATCAGACATTGCATATTGAAGTCGACATGTCTCGAAAACAAGTAAATATTGAGAAGAACGTTATATTCCAAAAATTACTCAAAATTTAACGATATTTCAAATGGACCGCATTTCCACGTTCCAGAAATCAAACAAATTTTAGTATCGCCAGGCCATCTATACAGAAAGATTTGAACTAACAATTCTACCTGCAATTTGAAGCTATTGGGGGGACCAAACAACCCCAGTTTTCGGAACTAAAAGAAATTTCTTCATTTCGGAGATATTGACTGCGGGAATGTTAAATGGCACACCCTGTATATATACAAATTATTGTCTTTGTACAAATATATGGATTCCTATGTTTGAAAACTACTGTTCCTAGAATAACAAAATTAAAAAGAAAATATAGTAAGTTGAATTCTTTAGTGGCCCAGAACTGATTTAAAATGATTCTTTTGATTTAAGTAACTTGGCAAATAAATTCTTACCTCACTGTTACCGTCTGGTCCCGACAATGTAGTATTACTAGATATTATATCAGNTAGTTATGCCAAGGCATCCCGACATTCAGAGTTCTGTCTCAGTGCGATTTAAATAAAATAATAAATTTTCCTGTTACATCAGACATTGCATATTGAAGTCGACATGTCTCTAAAACAAGTAAATATTGAGAAGAACGTTATATTCCAAAAATTACTCAAAATTTAACGATCTTTCAAATGGACCGCATTTCCACGTTCCAGAAATCAAACAAATTTTAGTATCGCCAGGCCATCTATACAGAAAGATTTGAACTAACAATTCTACCTGCAATTTGAAGCTATTGGGGGGACCAAACAACCCCAGTTTTCGGAACTAAAAGAAATTTCTTCATTTCGGAGATATTGACTGCGGGAATGTTAAATGGCACACCCTGTATATATACAAATTATTGTCTTTGTACAAATATATGGATTCCTATGTTTGAAAACTACTGTTCCTAGAATAACAAAATTAAAAAGAAAATATAGTAAGTTGAATTCTTTAGTGGCCCAGAACTGATTTAAAATGATTCTTTTGATTTAAGTAACTTAACAAATAAATTCTTACCTCACTGTTACCGTCTGGTCCCGACAATGTAGTATTACTAGATATTATATCAGCTATAACCTTGTTCAAAGCATCTTCTACCAAAATTGACAATCCGTGTTCTTGGACATTGAAAATGTTGGCGACGTTTTTGCATAGTAACTCACTAAATCTATTGCTCCAGGTGTCGTCGTTTAACATTCCTTCAACTTTGAACTAAAATAATCATTATAATATCATTAATTATATAAGAATGACATACAGGGTGATTCACAACTTATCCAAAGAAACTGGGAATAAATGAAAAATTGAATAAATATCGTAAAAAATTTGTAAAATCCTTATAGTTTCAAAATTATTGAAGTTGTTGTGCAATCTCCACGTGGTTCCAGGCGATTCGGAAAACCGAAATCCGAATTTAGTATTTACGTTTTTGCGATAGTGTTTACATTAGTTTTTCAAGTGCTAAAAATGGCTTCTCAAAAATGGTACAACATATCGACTGATATACGGTATACCTTTTTTTTTAGCAAAGTGAGAGAGGAATCGAGCTATGAAAGAAAAATGCTAAATTTGGCAACGCTATCAAAGTTGTGTAAATTTAAATGAATAATTTCGTCTGCTCCTGTATAATCCAGGCATATCAATTTAAACGTGAAAATGAACATTACCATGAGTTACTTTAATTGGTCAAATTTCATTGTTGTCATAGTAACGACTTAGAAGTTATAATTGGAATTTGATTTTCCAAGTTCTTTCTTCGAAGGCGAATAACTCCACAACGAAGCCCGATAGGAAATTTTTTTATAAAGTACTACAACTATTTTCACCTCCCCTGTATAACTTATATTTAACCTAAATTGTAAACAATTGAACTCGTAATTCTTTAACAAATTAATATCTCAAGTATGTATTTTCTATATTTTTTTATCAGTAGATAACAGAAAGTAGCATCTTGCAAATATAATTTCGCTGTCTTTTGAAAGTGAATTAATCACCGTTCGATTATTTTCAAGTTTGAAATGATTTATACGTGTGCAGACATTTATCTGTTTTAAATTTACAATAAATCTGTTATTACCATAGTGTTTTTTAGAAACTGATTTTTGTAGAGGCACATTGCGAAATGGCTGCTTTAACTAGAAGAATATGTATTTGAAATGTGTTTTTTGCCTTGACTTTTTATAGAAAGGTATTTTTATATGAACAATCCATTCTAGGATTGTTTATTGCTAAAAGAGCTGACCATTTTTTTAAGAATTGTTTTAATCTGCCTGACATGTTATTTAAACTAAAAATACGAGAGCTAGCAATGAAATATATATTTTCTCAAAAGAAATTTAGTAAAAAGATAAAAAAATATTTCACACTAATACTATCCTACTCACATTTTCAACAATTCATATTGTCGTTTCAAAATTTAATATTTTCTAAATATTCCGTGTGTCGTATATAATTTTGTTCTCTTAATATTTACTAATTTCATTTACATAAAAAGGCCAAGTAAAATGCAGAAAATCTTTCTATCGCAGATATTTTTACGTAAGTATTAGTCTTTGTCAAGGGTAATATTAAACAACGCAGAATGTCTCCTTGAAACAATATATTATTTAAATATTTCAAAATGTCAGTTATGTGTTTTTGTATTGATAATATTTAGACCTATCATTTTTAATTTCTATTTTACACAAGTATTAATTACTAGACGTTTACTAGATATTGTTGGTATAAATCAAGGCAAGTAGGGGCATGCAGACCATACAGTAGTTGTTGCCCGCAATATCATCGTTGTATGAGGTTAGATATCTATCGTATACAAATATTTTTGATAAAAATATTTTTGTAATATTTACTAATTTTTTTGTAATAGTATAAATAAAAACATATAAACATTATTTCTTCGTTATTTTGTTTACATTGATGTATTCGGCTTACCTTTGCATCGTCAAGATGCATTTGCATTCCTGTTATAGTCACATTTACTGGCACCAATGAAATGGTCAAGTCTCCTCCAATTGTAAGATTTGTTAGTTCCACGCTGAAAGTTATATTAAAAGTACATTGAATTATTAAAACTGCTTAAAATATCACCTTAATCTACTTAAATATTAATTACACGTAACTTACGTACTATTTTTATTGAATCTTATAAACAAAATACATGAACTAATTAAGAATATGTTTTCGTCTATCGTGTGCTTCCCAGTTATCTGGGAGTTTGTCTCTTCCACTCCTGAAGAAATCTTATTCATTGGATTCCCCTGTCGTTTCGAACAAACGCGTCGCACGTTGGGCGCCATGTCGTCTTTCAGCATTATTTCTTTCCCTTGGGGAATTACTAATTTAACCGGCGTTTTTATCGAGCTTCGCATGTATTATCTGTGGTGTTGGAACTCTCATCTCATGCTGTCTGAGGTTTGGAAATATGAGCAACGATCTTATTTATTTTTGCCTTTTCGCACTCGGGTACACCCTTGAGATGACATGGATGTAGAGGCTTTTAATTGAGCCTAGTTGCACTAAATAATTTTTGCAAAAATTTTGGATTTATTGAAAAATTGAGTATTTGATTCGCAATTGATTGTATACAGGGTTGCATAAAGTATGAAAACCCCTGAATAAATCGTCAGGAGTGCATTTTCTTCAACAATGATAAATACAAAAGTTTCAGGATTTTTCCCTGGCTATTCATTGGCGCTTTTGTATTCGACCTTGACCTTTACCTTCGAGGTAACTTCAAGGTCAAACTTGTTTTTTCAAACGGGAACCCCTATTTTTTATTGCGGATTTGGAAAGAGCAGGAAATTTTACATCCAAACTAGTCTACACCATGACTTTGATGACCTTACTTACTAAATCCTCAATAAAACAATAGGGTTCACATTTAAGAAACTTAACTTGACCTTCAAATGACATTGCAGGTCAAAGTCAAGGTAAAATCCAAGGTCACCATCAGATAGCTATGGAAAAATCCTTACACTTTTGTCTGAAACATTTTTTACAAAAGTTCTGTCGTACTGGGACTTTTGGAAGTCGACTCACATTTGACCTTAAAGGTCATTGTCTTATTTTGACTTAAAATTTCCCATTTTTTCCAAATCCGCATTAAAAAATAGGGGTTCCCATTTGAAAAATCTATTTTGACCTTGAAATGACCTTGAAGGTCAAAGTCAAGGTCGAATACAAGGGCGTCATTGTATATCCAGGGAAAAATCCTGAAACTTTTGTATTTATAATTTTACAAGAAAATGCACCCTGACGAGATATTCAAGGGTTTCCATACTTTTGTGCCACCCTGAATAACACAATTACACGTACTACAGGTATAGTCCGGGCGAATTAGTTTTTTTTTTAATCGGACCTATCTCGAATTTTTATTTTAAAATTAAGTAAAAAATACACAGAATAAAACCCTAAATTTGTGTATTTGCAGAGCCCGAGATTCATACTGTTTATAGCAAAATTAAAAAAAATAATTGCTCTTTTTTCAGTTTTTCGCTTATATCTCCGAAAATAAGCCTCTAATCGACATGAGATATACTTATCGATTTTGTTCCTGAGGAAATTTGCTACAAGGCTAGGCTTTTGCGAAAGCTCACATTTTTTTTATATTGCAAAATTACCGGTTACAAAAAATGTGGTAAATTTTCAGAATTAAAAAAAAAGACCAAATTTGACTGAAATTGGATGAAACTACAGGAAAAGATAACTGTTGGGGTGCTCAACAAATCCCCGCAATCCGGATCCCAATTTCGAAATTATAAAGTTGAAAACGCAAGCGCGTATATCTTCTGCCCAAGTNATTTTTTCAACTTTGTAGCGCGTCGTTAATGACTACTCTGCCAACAGCGTCTGTAGCGGCTGTGTTGTTTGAAGCGGCTAGGCGCTTCTCTGAGAACTTCGGTAGAAATTTTGGAAACATAGGCGAATATTGTACCTCTATGCGCGTCTTCTGCTTCTAGTGGAGGGTAATTTAGGTCTCATCAGGCATGGGTCTTTATCTTGGCCGGGATTGGACCTGAATAAGGTGGATAGAGACGGCATATGTAGATATTTTTTTCTTATGTAATTCAGTCTACATTAGCGTATGAAATATTTTAATTTTTACGCCAATCCTGCACGTTCTTATAAAATTCCACACAACTAATCAAATGGTTTTAATTAATATTTTCTACTCTAAGCGTAAATAACTACAAAATTAAATATTTCATGGATTACCTTATTTTCCCGTCTCCATATATGCGAAGTAGAGATATGTTAAGCAAAATAACGTTTGTCACATAATCCAAATCCAATTTGAAATCATTGATTGTTAAGACAAACTGAGTTGGTATAATATTAGCGGCATAAGTTATATTCAAATCGAAATTCTTAATACCCTGTATATTCACGTTACTTATATTAAGGTATCCCCTGGAACAAAATGAATATGTACAATACAGGGTGATTGAACCGACACAGGGCAGGTACGTGACAATTATGGCGTTTTAATGTAATTTACATCTATTGCAAGTTGCTTCGTTTAGCCACAACATGGCATTAAAATGTATGCAAATTTAATGGAAATTATTATGCCAATAATTATGTTTTGCAATGCGTTTAGTAAATAAGAATAATACCCCTATTCTTTTGCAGGTAATGTTACAAATGTGAATATTATCAAATTTTTGTTCAGGCAGTTTGTGTTAAAATAAAATAAAATATGTTCTTTATTTTCATTACACTTCGGTGTCCTAAAAAGAGGTCCATTTATATTCACTTGTTCTTAGAAATCTGCAGTTTTGGGAAGAAAATAATAATTTCGAAGGATAATAGAGGTATTCTTTAATAGAAAAAGGAAAGTCTTAACATTTATGTACTTACGAAACATAGTCATTGTCTGATAGGTCAGGATTTAGTGTTTCTATTGTAATCGGTTCTGAAATGTTATTCCTTAGATTTTCTATGTACTCATTGATTGTATCTGGTATAGCTGAAAATAAATTAATAATAATGTAGTTGTTTTAATAAACATTGAACAGCTATGGAATGCAATGAGAATAGAGGCATAAAGTACCGGGTTTCCCATAGGTATGTGAAGCAGCAGTAGATTCTACACTACGATTTAGCCAAACTTACCTTAGTCCAAAAGTCGATAGTTACAAGGTTACAGATTTTAAAATGTCACCTCAGTATATCTGCCCCTTTGTTATATTTTTTCCATTTTCCCATTCTTCTTACGCACTTAAATGTCGCTACGAGTAACCATTTTCGAGATATTCACCTGTAAATCTTCCAATACGAATTTAAATCATTTGGTATAGGGATGTATGTATACTTTTCCAAGGAGGCTTTGAAAAACAAATGGTATTATAAAATTATCTTGCTTTATATATATTTTTTAATTATTAAATTCAAATGTTGACAGGAAAAAAACGTACTATTAAATAAAAAACAATAACATACAAGGAAATAAGGAACAGCAAATAAATAATCAAGAATTAATAAAAAAGTTATCCGTTCTTCGTAACAACTGTTGGAAGTTTCCTTTTACTTCGAAAAGTTAAAGGTTAATATTTTGAAAATAGTTACTTGTACGACAGTTGCAAGGTACGCCTTTTTGCGTAAAAAAGATAGGAAAATGAAAAAGTATATCAAATATACTGAGGTGCAAAGTTATGACATTTTAAAGATATGCGAAGTTGTATAAATGCCCGTCAATATCTCCAAAATTTGTGTAATAACTGTAATTTTGAAAAGGTTATTTAATAATAATGTATATTTCATTCGCAGACTGGAGATAAGGATTTTTAAAATTAACTAACACACATTTTACCGGCATTTTAATTGACAGAAAATAAACAACGCTGACAATAGACTCTTTTAGTGTGACGTCACATATTTAGCCAACCCGCAACAAATTGTTATAGTTGAAATTGTGCAGACTGAATCTGATCCTTGTGTACTATTTACATAGATACTATAAAAATGAACTTAAAATTTACAAAAAACGATATAAAAGAGTATTCCTAAATTTAAATAAGGCAAAAATTTAACATTAGCCATGTTATTCCTAATGCGCATTCTCGGGAAGAATAGCCTCACACGCAGGTGAGATCTTGTTAATATGTTATCGCTGTCATCAATATTGCCAGAATATCGCGATATTTAAGGTCATGACAAAGAAGCCATTTTTTTACCAAATTATTTCAAAGTTTTGTTTTAAATTAGTCTATGTCAGATAATGTGGACAAAACGTCAAAAAATATTACAGAAAAAAATATATCTAAATATTCAAACATTTACGAATCAAAATACAAATTAAGTAATTGTTAAATATCAGATAGCATATAGACTTCTTTAAATTCAGTATACTTTGCTGTATATATCTAACTTAAAGCCACCATTCGTTATTTTTATTCAGCGCACGAAAAGAATCGAAGATCGGGAAAACTTTTTTCGTGCGCTATTTCCGTTCGCTAACCCGAAAAAACCCGTCTTACATTATTATTAAAACAGACGAAAATAAGGTGTTTTCGAAAAAGTACCTATAATAAAAACAAATATCTGTATCTCTTTAAGTATCAACTTTCGAAGTAGGGTAAGTTTGGTTAATTCGTAATATTTTTACCGTTACTTATGAGACACCCTGTATAAATAAAGGCACTGTAACTTTAATTCAAAATAAACATCATAACTTTTAATGAACATCCTGATGAAACTATCTGATACGGTATTTTTTTTAGTTCCAATTGACAATAAAAAAGGTATCACTATTTACGTATATTTTGCAGTGAATTAGTTAAAACAAATGAACAAATAGATAACATCTTATTTTCAGCATGTACCTGCTAGTACTGTAGTAATAAAAAAATGTACTTACAATCCTGGTATCCAAATGAAAATAACATTGAAAAGAAGAAAATTGAGAGCTTCATTTTGCCACGGTTATATACACTGATATATAGTAAAACTACTGCTGAATGAATTTCAGTTAATGCTGCTAATGTGAAATAAAGTATGTGGAATTAATCAAAGTAGCAGATCTTTCTATTCGAGATATTAATTTCGATTTATCTTGATAGATAACAGGAAATGTTTAAAATATCTTTATTATGTAAAAAAAGTGAATGTGTTACTATAGCATTACAAATACAATATAACATTTTCGACGAGGAATGTGTACAGTTTTGTAAAATATCTAATTTAATATAACATTATTTTACGATCTCTTAAAGAAAAGCGTTGAAATATGAATCTAAAATGATGTCAAAACAAAAATATCACAGTATTATAACAGAAAGGCAAGCACATAAAGCAATGTGTTCGTATATTTTATAGTTTACCAACATCTAATAGTTTCTATTTTTGAGAAACGATTGGGGATAAAAGAATCAAATTTGGAGTAACTATGCACAATTTTTTGTATAGAAAACTTATTGGGAACCACTGACTTCACTGTAAAAGAACGTATAGCATAGATCAACAGTGCAGTATTGCCACTGTTCTCTAAAAACTTTGAATTGTAACTATTACGTTGAAACAAAAAGAAAACGTTAAATAAAGAGGCATGTTTCTAGATGATAGACCAAAAAAACTTTTAAATACAGTGTGACCCATTTATTTTTGCCACCCTGTAAAATCTTTACTTATTGTGCGATTTTAACCATAAAAGAATCAATAAATGCATGGAAGTAAATGGTGGATTGTAGAAGTGACAAGAATATAAATATTTAACTTTTGTCGGTTTCAGTCCATTATTTTATTTTTAAATTTGTCAAAACTAAGATTTATTAATACTTAATTATTACATTACTAGAGTTTAAATAATTTGTTATTTTTTGTTTTTTATTACCAACAATAAATTAATGAAAAAATTTGGCTACAAAATCGTTGTTATTTAAAATTTTTTGATAAAATTTGGTATTGGCCCGTTTTGGAGGGTCGTGAATCCAGTGGCGTAAATATTTTTTTTCAAAAAATCCCTAATATGAAATATTAGAATTTTACTCCAAAAATACTACTACGGACGTAGTGAGCCTTGGATTTTGTGTGATTATGCTCAGTTTCTTTCACAAAGCACACTTCATTAAGCTCTATATCTTAAAAAAAGTCGGTAATTTATCAGTAAATACTATACACACTTTTGGATCCATATATTAACTTTTAATTAAATAACAAAAAACAAATAACTATTTATCAACATTTTATTTACAGACAAAGCAACGGCATACAAAATAAAATCTTCTTAATTCCCTATTTAGGATTTTAGACCCATACGATTCTCTAATATCTCAAGGAACCGTCCCAAATCTTCCATGGCCCTTTCTTGACTTGTTGCGGCAGACATCTACGAAGTAAAAAGGTAAATTATATAAATAAAATTTTAACCAGCAGAAGAACCAGAGGAATATATTACTCGCAAAATCAAATTAATATTAATTAACATTCATGTAAAGCATACATACCTTTTGAGTATTAACTTCATTTAACTCTTGCAAGATATCTCTGATGATTGAGTTGATTATATCCACCAAGCGTTCAGAAACGGGTTCCTGGACTAAATTCAGAAAGTCGGCTACAGTGTTACTTAAAATTGTGCTCAGTAGTCTACTGAATCTGTCGCCAAGAATGTTTTGTATGTCAAACTGAAATTGAAAAATTAAAGATCTTAAAAAAATATAAAATTAAGTGGTATGTATGTTTTAGTGTAATAAAGTATAGTCTGCAGGGAAATACATTTTTAGAAAATAGATGAAATAATTTGTATGTATGTATGTCGGGGGGGGGGGGGGGGG